ATGAAAGAGTTACAGCGGATGGATGATGACTGGGGAGAAGTCAGAATCAGAGGAGTTGATAGAGCAGAATGTGAGGAGGCCGGGGTCACGGCTCGAGATAAACCAGAGGAGACGGGAAGGGAATCAATCGGAATGAGTGAGTTTGCACATAAACACACTTATTCACAAACGCACATAAAAAGAACCACATTTTAAGAAATTGAATTGACTTGATAAATAAGTAAAGATAAAAAGTTGTATTAACCATGAATTAATCAATTGGTAAATTAAAAATAGCAGTAAAGAGGAAACTATTAAAGTAAATTGAGAAAATAATCCTAAAACACACTAAAGGTACTGTGGGAAAAAGGGGGAGACATGATGGAAATATTCACTACACTTTAAGCAGTGGGTGTTTTGGAGTTAGGAGTACAGAGTAGAAAATATTCTTCAATCTTTTCATCATGTTTACAAATTATTCTTTTAGAGTTTTTATTCATGTGTGAATTTGGTAGTGTTTTAATTTGTTACAGTATTGATCTACAGTTTAAAGGGAGAGTTTTAGTAACAACTCTATAAGATCAGACAAATCTTTATTTATATAGGTCATGATGAAGGGAAAGCTAGTTCTAAACCAAATATAGTATCTCAATCTGAGGTATTGATTTCACCATTGTAGCATAGTTATTACCATACAGTAGGAGCACTTTTTATGGGGAAATAACTGTTGTTTGCAGTCCAAAATGTAGAGTTTAAAATTAAATAAAAATAAAAACAGCTAATTTAATTTTGAAAAAGCAATATAATTGGGAGTAAACAAATGCGGGGCTTTGGATCACCCATTGTAAAGGTGCATATTATTGACAACCAATAAGGAGAATGGGTCACTCAACCCACCCTGCAGTGGTTTTTAAAATCTTACTTGCAGCTTCACAGGGAGCGCACGGCACCAGATTATGAGTTTAAAAGACAAGCGTCACCACCTCCTAATGGTCATCCATTTAATTAGTAATGACCTGTAATTTAGAGATGTTAAAAAGTAAAAACATACCTACCATAAGTGATTCCTAAATTCAACTACAAACCATTGATGAAATTACTTCTGTTTTCAAATCCTTGATAAAGGAAGGAGTAATTGTTACATGTTTGTACACCCAAAGTTCCACACACTGCTAGGGAGGTTAAAAAAAGAAAAATTCTTTAAGTGGACCAGGATTGAAGATACATGAATATAATGAGTTATTAAATACATGGCAGAGCTACACAGATCCTAATAATGTTTTGACTCAAGAAAATAATTATGTGCACAAGTTTCTGAAATAGATCTATTAGACATTTTAATATAGATTAGGTGTTAATAAACTGCAGTAGTAGTACTATAAGGAAGTTACATTTTTGGCTAACAAATTTCAGGAAATGTGGGAAACAGCTGTCCCAATGAAAAGTTAGAGATATCTTGAAAATTATAGTTGTAATCGTGAATTAATAAATGATGGCGCTCCATATGACAGATTTTTGTAGACAAAGGATACTGGCCTATGCTGAAATATCAAAGTCTCTGCAGAGCACGACACATGGCGAAAAAGACTGAGACAAAATGACCTTTGACCCTGACTGACAGTGTTACTTGAGAAAAGCACTGTCAATGACTGACTCTGGGGTGAACCTGACCAAACTTGACTTTACAACCTGACAGAGTGAGTGTGAATGTATGTCTGCATGTGATCAGTGCAACTGCATGATTTAAAACAATGACTAATCAAGCATGTTTTTGGACTAACACATTATTCTGGGGCTCTGTGGGAAACGAGAGGTTTCCTAAAATTCCACACAATTGGAAAACACATGTGACCCGTTTCTAATCTACTTGATGCTATTTTACTCCCACAGGCAGCGGCGGTTTGCACAATGTGAAGCTCAAACTAAAATGTGAAGATTCTGTTTCTTTTAGGACTGAAAGATGGAGAGAAACACTTATTTTCACTGGAGTGTTTACTGTGGAAAATAATGGATGTAAATTTGTGAATAATGTTTGGTATTTTCTTATAATCACTGATTACCTGAAGGTTTTCTTCACATACAGGATTTTGTTACACATGAGTTCATGTGTAAAAAGGGGGAGTGTGTGTATAATGTATTATATCAACATGGCTGTCAAATTCACAATCTACATTTTTCCTTTAGGGACTGAAAGAAACGTGCCGCCCCAACTCGGATGTTCTATCTGAATGAACCTGCTCCATGTCTATAAGATACTGTTTGATGAATGTTGACATGTTTCTAAATATTGATTGAGTTATAACAGGTAACGCAGATGCAGCAGCAGTGGCCAAGGGGCTTCTGTGAGAGATGTAATTCCAGAATGGGAATACCAAAGAAGTCGACCTGTGATAATGAAACCATTTTGTAATGTGGATATGTTAACAGATATTAGAGTAAGTGGGGTTTGAAATGTAGAAAGAACATATTACAGTTAAGTTAAGCTAAAACATAGTAATGTAATGAGAAGGAATTTAATTTAGACAACATCCTTTCTCTAGCCTGGTAAATAATTAGAAGTAAAAGCCATATACTTTATTGTTTAGGTCATTATGGGGATAGAAATGAACACAAGACTAGTTTCACAAGGGCAATTTAAATTCATAATAGAAAGACATTTGATGACAGAATGTTGGAATTCTGTATTCTTTTTTTCAGCTTGATAATATCTAAGCAGTGACAGGTAGAAGCAGTACCACCAGGAAATCATGCACTTTGACAGTATCATTATTCTAGTTGTTATTGAATCCATAACATGAGTGTGTTTCTTTACCAGAAACATGAGTAGTGGATGTGGGTGAGCTATATCTAGTATAACCAGCAGAGATTCATAAATTACACCAGAGACGCAGTAAAAAGAAAAATAGACGTAGATTAGATTCACACCTTAAAAGGTGTGAAAGGAGTGATTTGTGGAGTCTATTTTTATATAACATTAGAAAGACTGATTCTTATTATTACATTATTTGCTTATTGTGCTCATTTATGTGGCTGTGACTTAGGAATAAATAGACTCAATCACCCCCCCCAAGTTTTGATGGGGAGGACAGGAACAAAGGGAAAAGTTACATGAGAAAGTGTTTAGCTTGCAATATTGAAAGTAGCAAGGTGGAGTGCAGAGACTGAGAGAACACAAAGAGGTAGTCAGAACAGCACATCGCACCGGCCTTGACTTTGTATGGGAGCCGCGCTCCCACGCAAAGTTAGGAAGCAACATTATGGTTTCCCGCTATATCTGAAGAAACGTTAGAGAAAACAAATTAGTATGATGGTGCCAGAGTAGGGAGGGACTTCCACAGGCCGGCCGAATGCTGATTGGAGGATCGTGTTGCCAAGAGACCCTATCTGAGTCTGCGCACCAACCAAAGAGAACCAAGTCTAAACCACGGTATCTCTTCAGCTAGTTTTGACCAATCATAAATGTACGGGCAACGCCCTGTGTAATAAAATGTATTGTCGCACGAGGTTCGAGGCTCTTGACGGATATGGTGGTTACAGATTACAGCTTTGCTGCCTGTGATTCCCAAAGACGTGATGAGTCCTTGGCCAAGTAATATATATATTTTGCTCTCTTTACAATAAATAGTTCAACTTAGAAGTTGTTTGTCTTTTCTGGAATTCTGAACCCAACACATCACGATACATTTTTTAGCTCAACCGATTTTAATCTTAACGTATCTGTACCAATTTTTAACCGGTTCACGATGCATCATTACATCCCTAATTATCAATACTCTTACGGGCCGTCTCCACAGCAGCGTTAAAAAATCTTGAAACGCTTCTGCCCATTCACTTTGAATGGGGTGACGTCACTTTCCCTCACTTTTCGCAGATAATGCATTGTGGGCAGGCGAGCGGAGATTTTCAGGATTTTGAGGATTCAAAGTTGAACAATGTTCAACTTTTGAGGCTGAGGTGGAAGCGTCAGCCAATCAAATCCCGTGTACGCAAATCTGACAGTTCAAGCTCTAGCCAATCAAACGGCGTGTATGCTGGGAGAGAAATATCGCAGGTCATTTCCTCATATTCCAAAAAATGGAGGAGAAATTAGCGGTAGCGAATCAATCACCCGGTGCTTTATGACCAGACCTACCGGGATATAAACCGGAGGAGCCAGGCATGGAGGGAGGTGGCAGAGACAGTGGTAGGTTTTCGCCTGTTTTGGGGAGTTTATATCCAGTTTACTTCGGGCTTTTTTGCTTCGTATGTCGCGGGAGGGAGATTCATGTGATTGGTTGCTCGCAAAAAATCCTCAAGCTTCAGATACGCCCACCTCCAAGATTTTTTTAACGCTGCTGTGGAGACGGCCCGTTAGTGATAGAACTGTTTCGCTTCAGGAAACAAGTTGAAACATGTCATTCTACACTGTCATATAGCACTTTGAATACTTTTAGAATTAAATGGACACAAATATTACTCTACTTACATGAATGCAAGCCAAAATAACAGTCAATAATTTGAAGAGAATATATTTAGCTCATTTTCAGGTTTATATTAATATGTAGTGTCTCTACTGTGACATGTCTCCATGCTCTAATGTTCAAAAAGCTCTTTATTTTTCTCATACTGCCTGTGCTGCAGCACCTCTTTTCACCCTCCGTCTGAAACCAGAGCCCAGTCTGCTCTGATTGGTTAGCTGGCCGGCTCTGTTGCGATCGGTCAACCGCTTACAGATGTGCCTCCCCTTAGCATATCACCTAACATTTGTTTAAAGCGCTGGCGAATAGAAGCACTAGTGTTACATAGTGATGTCATTATGTTACGGAAGTAAACAAAGGATTCCAATGGAGGCGTTTCAGGCAGGGGGGGTGTGTCTAGGGGAGAAACACCCTCTGGAGAGAACACAGGGATTTTAGCATTTGTAGACCATTTACAGTAACCACTATACAGGAAAGGAAAAATCCCAAATACCATACCAGGGCCTCTTTAATTTTACATCAGTTTCGATCTTAATAGAAAAGGGGAACTTGTTTTTTTCTCACCATTTGTGGTCTGAAAGATGAATCCATCTTGTATCTCATCATAGACAGGTTGTGTTTCTTCATTTCCTGTGAAAAAGTTTGTGAACGTCACTTGAAGAAATCAACTGCGTAATCACTGATTATTTGCTTTAAAGCCTGCTGACAAACACAAAGATAACTCCGAGTAGATCGCAGTGACACCAATTTCTCTACAAAATAAGTACAACTATACCCTTAAGATCAGTTTTCATGCTGAAAGTTTAAAACTGCTTTTTTATTTATTAGCTGATCTTCTTAAATTTGCATTAATGGATTGTCTTTTTTCCTTTCCATGTGTATACAGGACAGGTTTTTTTTACCGCGTCTTTTAAACCTGCATCTCCAAGTAAAGAAGACGATGGTGATGATGAGGAGGAGGAGGAGGAAAAAGACAACTGTTCCTAACACCAAATCAAGAATCTGTGGTTGGTATTTAGAAGCCACTGGAAGAAAAAAAGAAAGAAGGAAAAAAGTCTATATTAAAACACATAATGATATGTCATTGAAGAAACATTTTATCAGTGTTGAAATGTAGCCTATTGAAGCAATACATCCCTCAGAGCTTGCTATATTGACCGTGAAAGCTTGCCACTACAAAGTCTATTTGTCTCTTCAATAGTGAATGATATACAATACAGAGTGCAGAGGATCTTATGGAGCAGGATACATGTTTTTTGTCTGACTCGGCCGGCAACGATACTTACACATCTCTCCAGCAGGCTATTCTCCGCATATTAACACATTTATGATTTTTATGCAGTAGGAAAAAGCTAACGTTAGGCTATAAACAAACTGCATCAGGGTCACATGACTTCACGTCACCTCCACTAAGCTAAAAGCGGCTAATGTTCTGCGTGATGACGTTTAGTAGTCATTCTCCAGTGGGGGATTTACTGACTATGTTATGTTGTAGAGCCTTAGGGCCTTTCTCATTTTACTAATTTCCCCTCCTCGACTCCTCGACTCCTCGGTCCTCCGGTAGTGACCCGGAAATGGATTTCAGTGCGCCATGTTGAAGGACATCCCATTTCTCTAAATGCACTTCGAGGACTGAGGATCGAGCATCGAGCATCTAGGAGGCTCTCTGGAGGAGCTATAACCGAGGATACAATGGTCTTCCACGGATCCGTGATGTTTAAAGGACACCTATTATGCTATATTTGAACAATATATTGTAGGGCCATACCTATATAAAGTATATAAATATAGTTTTTTTTTCAAAATACCAAACAGATCCTGCATTTTAGCCATGCCTCATTTCGCTCCATTTGCTCTTTCCAGCACTGTTTTTGCAGGGGGCTGATTCTGTGAGCTGCAGCTGACCACGCCCCCCTGTAGGAGAGGGGAGCGTGCTCTGAACAGCTGCTGGGCTGTCAGAAGAGGGGGGAGATCTCCGTCCTCCGTGTTTTATTATATTATTATATAGAGTCGTTATTCATTTGTTTTAAAGCTCAATAAATAACAAAGAAGACCTTTGACCGGCACTTTTCTAATTTTGTCCGGAAGATTTAAACATTAACGGACATCTTGACCGGCGAAAAAAAACCTAACTGAAACTCTGCCGCACGGTCCCCTCGTTCCTTGGAAGAGGCGGAGAGGTGGGTGTTTGTCATCTGCTGGTGGACTAACCGGAGAGAATTACAGTGCTTGCCTCGACGGGGAGGGATTGCATTGAATTACAGCAGCAGGAGCAAACACTTGCCTCGGGGAGGGAGAAAAAGATCCACAGCGGAGAATAAACAGAAGGGCTACCATGGCAACCATGCACGGGAAGTCTTCTTCGCTGCTTTTGTGGCAGACTACAGCGCCACTTACAGGCCTGGCATATGTACTACAGCGTCTCCAGTGCTTTCGAGCGGCAATGGCCGGCCGTGGCCCAACCCCACATTTCCCTGATAGGTGGAGAGTTGGCCCAATAGCCGTAGTGCCACCGTCCTGACGTCAGGACAGTGTTCAAATCTGGATCAGTTTTGATCAGATCCGTTGCAGCCCCGTTTTTAGAGATTTGGGTATGGAGGAAAATAGAGAGGGTTGTGTTTTCTGACACTTGGTGAGTTCCCTGGAACACCGGGGACACATATTCATGTATAAAAGACGTACAAAAGTGCATTTTGCATGATAGGTCCCCTTTAAAAGACTTGTGACGCACGGCCGGACTGATCTCAGCCAATGACAGCTCTGCATGCATCCCCTGGATATTATTTTATTAACTGTTTTCATCGCGACACAATGTTTACAGTGAGAACAGCTGTGAGGTCCGTGCAGAAAGCAGAGCAGTGTGTAAAATATATATCACTCAGTATAACAGGCCTACTCTCTTTATTTGCTTTAGTTTAGTAGATATCTACAAACAAAGAGTCGATATCTTTCTAAAACCATTTAGTGCTTCACATAATAAAATACACAACGGCTGTATCCTGATATATATTTAGGAGCTGTAGGTGTGTGTTGTACAGTGTGTAGGTGTGTGTGTGTGTGTGTGTGTGTGTGTGTGTGTGTGTGTGTGTGTGTGTGTGTGTGTGTGTGTGTGTGTGTGTGTGTGTGTGTGTGTGTGTGCGTGCGTGAGGCGGACAGACAGGTCTCAGTTGGTTTGGTGTCCTATACTTACTTTTAATACTTGTAAATAAAACTTTTGGCCCGTAATTTCATTTCCTCATGGTAGCGACCAGAGAGGGGTAGCTAGCGTGTAATGCATCCTGGTGCAATGCATCCTGGTAGCTGTAGACACACACCTCACAAGCAAGAGGACTTTTTCACAGTCAATATAGCACGCATTGAGAAATGACTTGCTTTATTTAATTACATTATATAAAAGGTTAGGTTCCTATGTAATCACAAAACATTTACATACACTGTTCTGTATATCTTAAAGCTTAGAATTGAGGGTTGCATCACATTTGTTGTAGATTTTGACGTTTTATACACATTTTCTGTCATGATTTTCTTTAGAAAGACTTAAGTCCTACCAGTGCTTGCCACCATTGTTGTTGTTGTAGTTGGTGCTGCTGTTGTTGTTGTAGTTGGTGCTGTTGTTGTTGTTGTTGTTGTTGCTGTTGTTGCTGTTGTTTTTGTTTCTGAAAAAATGAATACAGAATTTTTGTTTCTTTTCTGTTTCTTGGTACCTTCTGAGCAGGGCAGAGGATTACATAGTTTAGTATCTATTTTTACCAGCTCTCTCAGATTGATCAGCTTTACATAAATGTGTTTGCATATTAAGATTACTGTTCTTGTCATTTTTATTTCCACCTTTCCTGCTTTGACTTTCTTCCTGTGTTGTAGTCGTAGTAGTTGGAGGTGTTGTTGAAGATAGAGGTGTTGCTGCTTCTGATGTTTGTCTTGGTGTACCTGAGGCCTGTACTACGAAGCTGGTTCAACCTAACCTGGATATGTTTGAGTTAGCCGGTTGGCCCAATCCAAAACATACGCGCTCTGGCTAAGCTGTACTACGACGCTGGTTATCAAGTGGATCGCTCAAGCCAGCCGTGTCCTATCTAGTTAGGTGCGCGTTCACATGAAAGGGGTGGTATTTGGAGCATTCGACCAATCTCAAACACGGACAAGCGTACTGACAGCGCAGCGCGTCATACTTCCTGAATGAAAAGTGAACTTTAATATTAGTCAAATATGAAGAAGTTAAACTTTAAACATCCATGACTTAAACACTTTATCCAGGATAAAAGCCACATAGCTGCACCTGCAAGGTGAATACAGCTGGTAAAAGAAAAAGTGTTTGAATGCGTACATTAACAGGTTTATGATATCACTGCCCCGTCTAAGACACGAGTGGATCTGACTTTAATTAGGAGAATTTGACTCGAGTGTTTCATCAACTTAATGTGTTGCTTAAAATAATACTTCTGCATACAGTATGTGACACTGTGAGTGTTGCATGGCCAGATACGGCTCAAGAAGCTGACTCAAATAAGGAAATATATGATACATTATGATGTGATATGATATGAATGATAATGGGACACATCGACGTCTGCACTCACAGTGCCGCGGACTGTACTTAATGTTACTCTGATCCGGTTACTTATGTCGTGGCAGATATTTAATTAAGCTTTCTTAACGCTAATATTATAATAGTTTGATTGCTCTGAAGATGGGAGGGGATATTCTATTAATTTTCACGTTCACACAGTCAGTTGATTTTGGCCGGCCGTCTTTCCTGCAACGGCAGTTTTTCTGTATTTCCTCTATCCTGTAATATGAATTGATCGCTTTAAACTCCGCACACACGGAGCTCTGATTGGTCAGCAGGCGGTGCTTTCACTGAGTTGATCTCTTAGCCTGCCACCTAACCTGCTCCGGAGCAGGTTTGCCGCTCAGCATAAGTTACCATGGAAATCTAGCCTGCTAAAAAGAGAACCAGCGTCGTAGGACCGGAAAGCCCGAGATTTCCCTGAAGTTAGCCGGCTAAGCGAAAATCCAGCTTCGTAGTACAGGCCTCTGAAGGTGCGGATGTTGATGTCAGTGTGGTTGGGGTGGGTGGAGCCTTGGTCGCTTCAGAGTGATATAGATGATAGAGGCCACAAACAAGCACTTAACCACAGAAAGTCAACATGCACCAATTTAAAATAGAGAACATGCTGTGGTCTTATATATGGCATTTAGCCAAAGTGTTTTCACGACCTAAACCAGTCGAACCCAGAATCTATTATTCTACTTGACTTAACACATTTAAAATACCTGGCAAAGGTTTTATTTGGAGGTAGCATGCCCTCTTCATTTATGCTATTTGTATGCACTTAATCTCAAGATTTTAAGATGAATACCACTCATCTGTACTGGGAAGCTAAATCTGGTTAGCCTAGCTTAGCATATAAGAAACATGCCTGTAGAAATGCACTGCTTTACTCTCTCTTACTTCCACCCATATTTCTGTGTTCCTCTCTGACTCACCTTCAATCACTTGCAGAAAAACAGCTTTTCTACCACAGTAGTAGAGTCCAGAGTCACGTAGCTCCACGTCTGTTAAGGTCAATGTCCGGTCAACAGGTGAAACATCAAAGCCTTTCTGTCGATGTATCTCAACAGTGTCTCTGCTCCATGTTTGATCATGTGATCCTCCATCATCATGAGGGCAGTCCAGAGTGACGCTGGTCCTCTCTGTAGCGCCAAATCTGATTGTTCCTGGACACAGAACACATTCATGTTTTAATAATGTACACTAATGTCTTTATAACACATATTTAAGATAAAGTCAGAGGCCATATAAAGAGTTTTAGAGGTCTTCTCTTTTAAAATGTGCTCTATGTACATGAAGTTCTAGTTGACGACTCTTTCCCATATGAAATGAATAAGAGAACTGTGTTGTTATTGCTAAATTTGTATCCTTCATATAAACATATACATATTTTTCCTGTGTGGTATGTGATTTGGCATAAAACACACACTTCAAGCATGAACACACAGTTTACACAGACAACTACAAGTTACATCTAAAACGCTTCAGTATTTTTGGGAATTTTTAAAGGAAATTTACTTTTTTTGTAAATCCAAAAACCAGACATAGTTTGCAGTTTCATAAACTAGAATGACAATCCACCAAGCCCAGTGGTTTGTTCACATGGGATGGTAACATTGCCCTAATTAGGAAGTTGAAACTTGTCTACGTTTTAAATTGTGTAACACGGATGCTCAAAAGAAAACCAATTGTAGTTTATAGCTGAGAGCGTTGTAACAACATGTTGAGGTCTGTGAGTGAGGGAGGTATTCAAACTTGTTCACAGAAACTCACCAAGTATCTGACACCAAAGCGATGCAGCACTAAAGCCACAATGTTACAGAACAGAAGTGAAACTTTGTGTATCTGCCCGATGATTGGGATCCTCTCTGAATGCATTTTTTTTGTTGCCTATTCTACCTCTGTCCATCAGGTTTAATACAATTTGGAGCAGTAGTCTTTCCGTATTCCTGCTGACAGATGACACTGACAGATCAAGCTAAAAACTCCTTTGCATAACAATATTGTAGTAATGTATTTATTTCCCACTGAAGCGTGTTAAAATCTTTATAATTACAAATACATTTAGGCTATTAACTTGAAATAAATACACAAAAATACAGATGTACACCACAAATCTTTCTAACTAGGATGTATCACCAAATATGAAAATATATTTTTGGAAGATTCTCAAAAAAGAACAACACAGGTTTACATTATAAATACACCATCTCATTAATGTAAGAACATTTTTCTATTATCGGAGTTTAATGACAAATGTAATATTTAGCACAGAGACGTATAGGAGCAGGAACAGAAAGCAGAAGAGGTTTAATAAAGTTTGCTCTTACCTGGTGGGATCACTGTCAGCTCCACTGCTTCATCATTACAGAAATATCTCCCTGAGTCTGAGAGGGTTAATGTGCGAATGTACAGTGATTTATCTGCGAATGAACCGTATAGTTTGCCCGGGTCATTGTGTCTTGTCTCTCTTTCACCATCAATTGTAAATAAGGCCACTTTGTTTCCATTCCTCTCTCTGCTCCACGTCACTGTACCCTCCACAGAGTGAGGACAAGGCAGAGAGCCTGAGGTCCGTTCTTCAACCACTTCATGGCGTAAACCTTTCAAAGAAACAAGATTTACAATAAAAAGTCAGCTGTGTTCAGAAAATCAGCATTTCTTCTGTTGCAAACAAAACAAAAGGGGATTTATATCATAGTCTAACATTTTTAAGGACTCACTGATGTGATTATACACAACCCCAATACACAGAATGGTGATTGCAACCACATTTCATTCTAAATATTTCCTGATCATTTTCACGATTCCCCCCAAAGTTTAGAAGCTGAGGTTCAACGTAATGTTATCTTTGACATTGGAATATGGTGCAGTCTACGTGCAAGTGTAAAGGTATTTTGACAGACAGGAAGTGCAAATTAATCTGAATAACCATCTGAAAATTCTGTTTAGTGAGCCCAGGGTCTGAATATAGCACCTCACGTCTTCCTGTGTATATGCATCGTCTTGGTTCAAATAAAGAAACAATATAGTTTACAGTTTTTTAAATTGCTAAAACAAGTTTTTTGAAAGGCAAGGCAAGGCAAGGCAAGTTTATTTATATAGCACCTTTCAACACAAGGCAATTCAAAGTGCTTTACAAAAATGGAAGACATTAAGAAAATGGCATTTAAAATCAGTCATTAAAAAGAAAAGATAATAAAATAAACATTAAAAGAAAAAATACATGGATAAAAGTTACAGTGCAGTTTAAGATGTGAATAGTTCAATTAAAAGCAGCGGCAAAAAGAAAAGTCTTCAGCCTGGATTTAAAAGTAATAAGAGTTGCAGCGGACCTGCAGGTTTCTGGGAGTTTGTTCCAGATATTTGGAGCATAATAACTGAATGCTGCTTTACCATGTTTAGTTCTGACTCTGGGGACAGAAAGCTGACCAGTCCCTGAAGACCTGAGAGTTCTGGATGGTTCATAATTTAGCAGTAGGTCAGACATGTATTTTGGGCCTAAACCATTCAAAGCTTTATAAACCAGCAACAATATTTTGAAATCTATTCTTTGACACACAGGAAGCCAGTGTAAGGACTTCAGAACAGGAGTGATGTGATCCACTTTCTTAGTGTTAGTGAGGACTCGAGCAGCGGCGTTCTGAATTAGCTGCAGCTTTCTAATAGATTTTTTAGTGAGACCTGCAAAGACACCATTACAGTAATCGAGTCTACTGAAGATAAAAGCATGGACAAGTTTTTCCAAATCCTGCTGTGACATTAGTCTTTTAATCCTAGATATGTTCTTTAGGTGATAGTAGGCTGATTTAGTAACTGTTTTAATGTGACTGTTGAAACTCAGGTCAGAGTCCATGACTACACCTAGATTTCTGGCTTTATCTGTTGTTTTGAACATTGCAGACTGAAGCTCAACGCTAACTTTTATACGTTCTGCCTTGGCTCCAAAAACCATTACCTCAGTTTTATCTTTGTTTAATTGGAGAAAGTTCTGACACATCCAGTCATTGATTTGTTCAATGCACTTACTCAGTGTTTGAATTGGAGCATAGTCTCCTGGTGAAATTGTTACGTACATTTGTGTGTCATCCGCATAGCTATGGTAACTTATTTTGTTGTTTTTCATTATCTGAGCCAGTGGTAGCATGTAGATGTTAAAGAGAAGAGGCCCCAAGATGGAGCCTTGAGGTACCCCACATGTCATATGTGTCAACTCAGATGTGTATTTACCTATAGAAACAACGTTTTTTCTGTCCTTTAAGTAGGACTCAAACCAATTTAGAACTGTTGCCGAAAGTCCCACCAGGTTTTCTAGTCGGTCTAGTAATATGTTGTGGTCAACAGTGTCAAACGCAGGACTTATTTTCTCAAACACTAAACGCAATGCACAAAACCACACACCCAAAGTGCAAAACACCTCATATATCTTGCAAAATGAAGCACTGAACCCAAAACTACATAAACACTTACCAAAACCTAACTTTTGCACCAAATGGCACTTTGTCCAACCATGTGCTTACAGTTTTCTTTTGTTGCTAACACACTAAAATTAGACATAAAGCTTCCTTATTTAAACTCTCACTCAAAGAGCAAAACCTCAGCTCAAATCTCAAAAACTCTAAACACATTTTCAGCTCTGCAACAAGTTTTCAATTCAACTTGGCACTTTAATCAGCAAGAGGAAGAGGTAGAGGGAGGATAAAAGTGAGAAGGAGGATGAATTGGAGTCAGTTGAATAGTTATTTCTCCTGCAGGCTGTGGCCAGACCCAGCTATGTGGTAAAATGCAGCCTAAGCACTTTTCTTTCCTCTGTTTCTTTTCCCTCAAAGTTTTCCTTACTTGACAGAGGCATATTGTTTACACGACTGTAACCATGTGTTATGTGTTTTGGAGAACAATTAAAGTATAACAACAGTTATGTGTGTAGCATGTTTAATGGCAACGTTTTGAAAATGGCAAACAAGTTAATATGTCAGATTTCTGTGTCTTTCTTATGGCGCATTTCCACTACAGCGCGGAGCTCGCTTTAAGCGTGCCGAGCCGGGCGGGGCCCATTTTTGGTTGCGTTTCCACTTAGCGTAGTACCGGCTAGCGGGTAGTATTTCACTGTTTTCTGGCCCCATAAAATCGAGGTTCTTTCCGGGCCAACAACCAGGCTGAGTAGGCTATGCTAAACTAGAGAGAGAATCGCTGGCAAGGGGGCTACAACTACAACAAAATGAACATATTTTACCGTGATTTAATTGTAATACACGTTTCAAAATGATGCCGAAGTAACAACATACTGATACCGGTTAATAAAAACCATGAATTAATGCTTTGACAAGTCTGCAGACAGACGGCAGGCGAAAAACCTTTTAAAATGCGTGTTTTCTAAATGGAGATTGGCTAAGCTAACGTTGTATATGCTCCGACCGTCCACACTCACAACAACCCTCACAGGCCCTCGAGGTAATTTATAAACACACGCAAAAAAGAAAAAAATGTCCTGGCCAAGGTCAGGGTCCATGAACACAACACGAGCCTAACGTGTCATCACGTGGTATATGTCCTATCTGACAGGGGTGCAGTTCTGCCGGAGAGCACCAGAATGCGGCTCCGGGCCGGGACTTCACAAATTGCAGTACCCATAAGGAGCCGTACACATGCCACAGTTTTTGCGTGGCTGTGTCTTTAGTTGAAAGCCCAGTGGTGATCTGTTCATCTGTCATACTGATCATACAGTCAATAACTTTGTTGTTATTAGCATATGGTTAGCTAGCTATGCTAACGAATATAAGAAGCTTTTTCTCCAACCAGTGAGGTAAAAGCACATCTTTATATGATCATTATAGTTATTACAAAAAAGAGAATAAAGTAAACAGGTATAAAATACTATATGACACTAAAAAAAAGTTATTAATAAACAAGAATACAGTTTGAAAGGGGAGTGATTTGTAAAATATCCATAAAGAAAATCTGCTTACAGTTCTGTTTCATATGGATGTTGAGAGATGTATCCATAGATCTCCTAATGTTGCTCTCAAAGTGCACCAGATTGATGCTTTTAACTTCAACATTTAAAAAAAAATCTTCCCGAGGGAGCATGCTCCCCGGAACCCCCTAGAGGAGGTTAGGTCCCCCCCCCACTTAAATCATGTTCACATGGATAAGAAACTAAATACATTTGCAGATAGATAGATATCTGGATGAAGAGGTTGCTTTTTCTTTGCACAGCATGAAAGAAAGGCCAAATGAATGGGCTGTGATTTTAGTATTTTTAAGCAGAGTTCAATAATTTGTACAGCCCTCGGAGGATGTTGAAAAATTGATATGGCCCTTGAGAGGAAAAAGGTTCCCCACCCCTGCTATAGTTACTACCCCAGTTCCTAAACTGTAATGGAAATGCGCCATAAAGTGAGCCAGTCCTAACGAGGCCTAGCCATACCGAGCGAGGCCGAGCGAGGCCGTGTAGTGGAAATGCGCCATTAGAGAACCGTGTGCAGTGTCTTGCAAAAAATGGCAAGTTGAATTGCTGAACATGTGTTTAGAGTTTTGGAGATTTGAGCTAAGGTTTGGCTCTTTGAGTGTGAGTTTAAATAATTATGCTTTATGTGTCATTTTAGTGTGTTAGAAAGTGTAATCTTAACATTGCAACAATTACAAAGCAACAAGCAAACATCTTAGCAGATGAGGATATGAGTTACTTTAGAACATATGTGTATGCATCTGAAGTTAAATTAAACACAGTGTATTGAATGGCCGTGAGTGTTTACGCACTTCCTAAAGTAATGTGCTTTCCCGTAACCTCACATGCCCGATGAGTTAAGCTACATGATCACGCACTCTGAAATGAAAACTATCGAAACCAATGAGACAAAATTAAAATGTCTTACCTGAAAAGGCATTACAGCCTAGCATAAAAGCTAAAAGGCTCCAGATATTCATCCTTATCCTCAAACAGAGAATGACTGAGTGACCACGGTTTCGTCTGAAGCGAGAACAGGAAGTGAGCTGTCGCGCCTCGTTCCTCTAACTAAACCAATAGAGATAACTCATTGTCTCGGTCTGTTTCCCTCTGTGGTTAATATTTCTTCTCATTGCAACCCACGAGTTCACTAAATGGTACATGCATCTGGAACGGAATAATATATATTTTAATTAAATATATTCATAATTTGTTATGATTGCAATTGTACTTATAATTATTAATAAATAAATAAACGTTGGTTTCAGGATATAAATCATTTAGATTCAATCCCAGATAGAAAAAATGACACCAGTAAGAAATGTATTTTCACAGAAGAAGATCTGATTAATATTGAGTAACAGTAACTAACCAAATTCCCCTTCATCTGATTGAAATGATTCAGTTCACAGAATCATTTCCAACCTCCTCTTCTCTTTAAGATGAAAACAGAAACTGTGTTTGCATACGTGTCTTTAAACAAAGACAGATTGCCAAAACCTTTTTGTGGTCGATAAATACTAGGGATTATTTTTGGTGAGAACATATGAGAACATGCCTGGTGCAGGTTCATCTGCAGCTGTTCACACTATTGAATTCAATAGTATATTGTAATTCAAGTGGAACCCCAGAGAGTTTGTTTTTTTCTAAAAAAAGCCAATACAATGAAAAATAGAGATGAGAACATGTTGTTTATAGTTAAGTATTCTGCTAACATGTCAACTAGACAAATAAGGGAGGAGGATGACATCTTAACCACAGGTTCAAAATTAAAAGAAGTTCAAAGCACAGAGGAAGTAAAGCACTGATGGTGTAGGAGTGATGAACTGCTCATATGTCCACACGACAAAGTTATTCTAGGTCTTTTCTTTCCACAGCATTCTTTAAATATGTTACTGTACAATTAAATCAACTGGTATAAGTTCAAAGGAAGGGGCCTCCGACATGGCATACTAACCCCGGCTAAACTGGCGATAACTTACAGTATATAGTTATATGTATAGTTATAAAGTACAAATAAGTGATTGGTATTTTCTGCAATTCTATTAAGAAAGTGTGTGCTTTCATTGAGGGTTTTTTTACGCATAATGATCCATTTACTAGACGGCAAATAATTGGCCCTATTCTGCTCATTCTCAGGTTCATATTTGTATTTAGTGTCTCTCCTGTGACATGTCTCCATGCTTTAATGTTCAAAAAGCTCTTTATTGTTCTCATACTGCCTGTGCTGCAGCACCTCTTTTCACCCTCTGTCTGAAACCAGAGCCCAGTCTGCTCTGATTGGTTAGCTGGATGGCTCTGTTGGGATTGGTCAACCACTTAGAGATGTCCCGCCCCTTAGCTAATCATATGCAATGTGTTTGAGCACTAGACAATAGAGGTGTGAGTGTTACTGTACATAGTGATGTCATTACGTTACGGAAGTACACAAAGGAGTCGAATGGAGGCAGGGGGGGTAAGTGTGTGGCAGAGAAACTCCCTCTGGAGGGAACACAGGGACAAAAACCTATGTAACACACTACAGGGAAGATGACCTCGAAAGCATTGTGGGCCTCTTTAATATTGTGTAACGAGTAGATAACGATACTCCCCCTCATCTTTGTACAGACTGAAATGATTAAGTTCACAGAATCATTTCCGACCTCCTCTTTTCTTTAAGATGAGAGTTGAGTTAGGTCTGCTGCTAACCGCTAAGCTAACAGCTAACATTAGCTCGCAACACTAGCCACATCGTGGCTAGTAAGGCTGGACTATTTGTAACATGTTCCCTCTTTCTGAATGAATTGTCTTAATTTAGAACACTGATACATAGCAAAGTCTCCTATATCAGCAGATTATTTAATGAGTAAAATGTTTGTGAGTTAGAGTTGTATGCTAACCCTAACCCTAACCCTTTTTCTGAAACATTGGTCAATCCCATTCCACCAAGACTTGACAGAAAACGGTGGAGGAAGACATCTTAACCCCAGTTAAAGTGCTCATATATCCACACAACAAAGTTATTCTAGGTGTTTTTTTTCCACAGCATTATTTAAAGACTCCAATGTTACTGTAAAAATAAATCCATTGGTATAACTTAAAGTAAGATTGTTTGAATGATGAAGTTATATAAACTCAAAAAAGAGAACAGGACAGAAGATGGCAGTTTTTCTTTTATTTCTGTAATTTACAGGATAGGAAAAACATGATTCTAATTGACAGCTCATGCAAACTAATCTATTAGTAAGCTGTAATAGGGAATTATGTAGCTAGATAGATAGATAGATAGATCGTACTTTATTGATCCCAAATTGGGAAATTGTTTTTGTTACAGCAGCATAAAAGGCATTTTACAATAAAACAAAATATACAAGAATAGAAATAAAGTAAAATAAAATATAAAATAAAATATAAAATATACATGTCAAAATACAAAATATACATACAGATATTATATATATATATATATATATACAAATATATATATATTCAAAATATATGGAATTATGGAGTATTAAATATGAAACAGATTATGTGTGAGTAAAATGTACAAGGTGGTTTTATTTCTAGAGAAACTATGGAGCAGAGAGTTCTCTTCCAGCCAGAGGTGATTTGTTGTACAGTGTTATTGCAGTGGGCAGGAATGTTTTCCAGTATCTGTCCTTGTGACAGGGGAGCTGCAGCATTCTGTTGGAGAAGGAGCTCCGTTGACTGTCCAGCTGCAGGTGGAGAGGATGGGTGGGGTTATCCATGATGGACAACAGCCTGTTCAGTGTCCTCCTCTCCACCACAGCTTCAAAGGGTTCCAGCTTGAGTACCAAACAGTATAAAAACATAGCTTGTCTCTGACCATCATTCTCCTTTTCTGCTGCTAAAACTTTGATCCATGTCTCTATCACCTGTACTGGCTGCCTATTTGATAACAGATCCATTTTTAAGGTTGTTCTTCTCAATCGCAAAACCTTTTGTCCTCTTTTGGGTCAAATCCCGCATTCCCTAAATCAGGACAGTATTTAAAATTGTACATAAATCCATGCTCTCTTTTCTAAAAGATTTCTCAAAAACATTAAACAGCTTGTTACAGGACAGAAGCGCAATGTTGAGGTATAACTATAGATATTGGCCCTTGTTGTTTCCAGGTGCTTTAGGTGTCTCCAGTCAAATATATGTGTTGTCAGTCAGCTGAGACAAACCTGTGAAAGACAAAATACCAATCAGCAGAATTTCTGTCTGCTTTATCTGGGTGAAAATCACTATCTGTGATTCAGTATTTTAATAATGTAGAATTTTGTTTCCTTTACCCCTTACTTTTAATTGAATCTGCCACTACATATGCTATGTTGTAATTGTTTGTCCAAGTACTCCTACTACAGTCACAGAGGTCACATTAATATCATACAAGCCAAAATTAGTAGTACCTTTATAATTCCTACCAATAAAAGTGTAGCTTATCAATGAGTAAGGGCACTGTTTCTGGCAGCATAAATTAAATATCAACCAAAAATACGGCACAACAAAATATGATCTAATGTTGATCAGAGCACCATCTTTACCTGTCTTCTTCTCCAGGGATGTTGGAGTATGTGGGATCATTTTGGTTTGATTCATCTATTAAAACATTTAACAAACAAGAATTAATAACCACATAAAAATAGTTCTCTGCTTTTCATGAAGGATGTTGGTAAAATATGTTTAGTTACCTGTAAAATCTGTCATACAGTATGCAGTTGTTGGTCCAGCCGAGCTTCTGAAATACCAAAAAAGGACATATAAGGCACTTCTTTCATACCAAGATATTAAGATATATTTAACATCAGGCTCGATGAGAATAGAAAACGGAAAAAGGAACACTTATTTCTTCTTTTCCTGTGAAAAAGATTGTGAACGTCAGTGAGTATCACTGGATATTTCATCTTTAAAACAGTAAAAACTGCCAACCTATCTCTGTTCTATCCATGCTTTAAATATGATTAGCTGTGTGTGTTAATAAACAGGCCAAAACTACTTTTTCACCTTCTTTTATTGATTGCAATGTTTTCCTTTGATGTGTTTACAGTAAGATCTCATTTACCTTGTTTTCTAAACCGGCGTTTCCTAGAAAAGTACACGACGATGATGATGATGATGATGATGATGATGATGATGATGATGATGATGATGATGATGATGATGATGAGGAGGAGGAGGAGGAGGAGTAGAAGGAGGACAGAGAAACTAATTCGAATCACCAAAACAAGAGATTGTTGTTGATCTGTAGAAGCCACTGGAAGACAAAGTAAGGAGTCATGACACATTAGAAACACAACAGTGTGAAAAGATGACCTGTCGTCAAAGGAACATTTTCCAGCTTTTATGTGGATGACTCATCAGGTTTTAAATGTAGCCTATTGAAACAATACATTACTCAGAGCTTGCTATATTGACCGTGAAAGCTTGCTACTACAAAGTCTATTTGTCGCTTCGAATCCAGGAGAGTCATTTGTGGCGATGGTAGGGACATAGTTCAACCCAGTCTCACTGCATTTCGTGTTAGAGTCACGACATGTAATCTATTGATTCGTGTTCACTAACACGATTTTCCCCTTTTTTTGGTGTCACACAGAACGATTTTAAAAGCAATGTATTTCTATTGGTATTATGTTTCGTGCCTGCAACACGTCTTTTTGTATGCTGTGGAAGCCGTAGTACTGTAAAAAGCAGTACTACGGATGGATGGGCACTGTAAGGAAGTAGCAGATTTTTTCCGGCTGTGTATTTTCAAATTCTAGCGCACTCAAGCTGGTTTCTCCAAAATTACCTACCCCACCTTTAAACAATAACTTTTTAAAACATTTTTATCTTTATGTTTTAAACATTTAAAAAAAACATTTTTAACATTTTCAACATCGTGGATAAATCCTTATATGCTCCCGGCAACACACTGAACGTCAATTTTGCCTCCTTATTACACTCACCCAGGGGCGTTTCCTGGACCTGGAAACATTCGGGGCTTAGCCCACAGTGGCAGCGCCAGAGATTTT